ACACACACACACAGCTGTGACATCAGCAGGAGGCCTAATTCACAACACATGGCCTCCCCATAACACACACACACACACACACATACACACACTGCAAATACCAGCAGACATGCTTTAAATGCCTTTAGACTCCTGACTCAACCATATTCATCACCTCTAATATTAATATTATCATCATTATTACCATAATTATGGTTATTATTATTATTATTATTATTATTATTACTATTATGATTATTATTTTAAAATTATAATAATAATTATTATTAATATTATTATTATTATATTAATAATATTAATAATAATAATAATAATAATTATTATTATTATTATTATTATCATAATTATTATTATTATTGTTACTATTATCATAATTAGTAGTACTATTATGGTTATTATTTAATAATCATTATTATTATTATTATTATTATTATTATTATTATTATCATCATTATTTACTATTATGATTATATTTATTCATTATTATAATTATTGTTATTATTATCATAATTATTATTACTATTATGATTATATTTTTATTATTATTAATATTATTATCATTATTTACTATTATTATTATTATTATCAAAATTATTATTACTATCATTATTATTATTTATATTTTATTTATTATAATTATTAATATTATTATCATTATCAAAATTATTATTATTCATATAAATGATGCATTGAAGGGATAATTCACCCTAAAGTGAAAAACCTCTCATCATTTACTCTATTTCATCTTCTTTTGTTGCACTTCAGTTTGAGTTTCTTTGTTTTGTTGAGCACAAAAGGAGATATCCCTACAGTCCAAACACATCCACTACAGGGGAATTGATTCACTAAATTGGCCGTAGTGTATTAGTGAGTGTGTGTGTGTGTGACTGAGTGTGTATGGGTGTTTCCCAGTACTGGGTTGTGGCTAGAAGGCTATCCTCTGTGTAAAACATATGCTGAAATAGTTGGTGGTTCATTTTACTGTGGTGAGCCCTGATAA